CTCTCTCTCTCTCCTAGAAATAAATAAAACATTAAAAAAAGAAAAGAAAACATTTATAAAGTTGTATTAAGAAAATATCAGATGATCCTTAGTAAAGTAGAAAAACAAAGCTTGTAAGAGTAATGAATAAAAGAAAGCACCCAGGAGGCCTCCCGAACTCAGCACCCCACTTCTTCAAGACTGTTTCATAAACCTGCCATAACCGGTTCCAGGATCCACACACGTAGGATCTATCCCCTTGGGCAAGTTACTTTAGCTCTTTGTACTTTTAGTTTCTTCTGTAAACTGCTGCTAAACATGATCCCCGCCTAATACAGTTGTCGCTAGGGCTGGAGATAATTTAAAGCTCTCAGCACGGTGTCAAGCTGTCAGTAAAGATGGCAACTCTCTTAATTATAATGATGATGATGATTGCTATAGTTAGAACCTCAGTGTTCTGATCAGTTGAAAGATCCAGCTCACACTGTAAACAGTCTGAATTAGAGACTTAAATGCACAAGAAGTAGTTAACAAAAGGCTGCCTTGTAGGACTCTGTGTGGAGATGGTAACCCTATGTCCTGAACCAAAACTGAGAAAGTGGGTTCACGATCGGACAATGGGACAGAATATTCACAATCAGAACCGTCCTGAGAAATCCAAACATATGAGGCTTATGTTTTCATAATAAGTCACACAAAAAGAGTTTCTTATAATTAGAACACTGATTATGTGTATTTAAAGATTTTTTTCTCAGGTGTTTTAGATATTTTGTTAAAATATTTTATTATTAATTTGCATCATCTATTGTATTTTCCAAATAATAGTACATGTTAGGCCAGCTCCCTTCATTTTTGAAAAGAACGTGCATTATTGGAGACTGAATTGATGACTAGATCATTATCCAGGCGTCCAGATCAATGGACCCAATCCTGTCCTAGGTAAAATGGGATATTCCAAAAGTCCATCTGTAACAGGGAAACAAAGCATAATTTATTTGCCCTATAGCATCACCCATAAAGGTTGGTTAAGAATGGAGTGGTCCTGGGGCGCCTGGGTGGCTCAGTCCGTTAAGCATGTGACCTCAGCTCAGGTCACGGTCTCACGGTGTGTGAGTTTGAGCCCCGCATCGGGCTCTGTGCTGACAGCTCAGAGCCTGGAGCCTGCTTTGGATTCTGTGTCTCCCTGTCTCTCTGCCCCCCCACCCCCACATTGTCTCTGTCTCCCTCAAAAATAAACATAAAAAAAAAAAAAAGAATGGAGTAGTCCTGGTTAAAAAGCCTGAAATTAATTTTTCCTTTTCTTCCAGTAAAAAGCAGGCTAATCCTAAGAAGACACAGAAAAGAATAGAAAACTAAAGGATATTAAAAGGCAAGAGACCATATCTAATAATAACTCACATCTATCCAGTGTTACACATTATATGTTACATTTTAATTTTTACAAGACTCCTAAAAGGGAGTTCATATTATTTTTATTTTATACTTGAGGGAAACTGAGTCTTAAAGTGGTTAAGTAACTTGGGGCACCTGGGTGGCTCAGTTAGTTAAATGTCCGACTTCGGCTCAGGTCATGATCTCATGGTTTGTGAGTTCGAGCCCTGCATTGGGCTCTGTGCTGACAGCTCAGAGCCTGGAGCCTCCTTCAGATTCTGTGCCTCCTCCTCTCTCTGTCCCTCCCATGCTCGTGTTCTGTCTCTGTCTCTCAATAATAAACAAAAATGTTAAAAAAAATTTTTTTAAAGTAGTTAAATAGCCTGTGCATGGTAACACAGCTGGTTATTTGGTGGAACTACTTAAATCCAGGGAGTCTGAATCCAGAACCTTCATGCCTAACCATTAACCAGTACATGCATAATATCTACAAACATACAAATGTTTATTTATAAATACACAAAGTTAAAGGCTGGTGAAAATTCTGTGGAAAAGGCAGGATTTAAATATCTAGAGGAGTAAAAGGGGCAAGGGAAGACTATATTATTTAAATTTTTTTAATGTTTATTTTTGAGAGAGAGACACAGTGTGAGTGGGAGAGGAACAGAGAGAAAGGGAGACACAGAATCCAAAGCTGTGAGCTCTGAGCTGTCAGCACAGAGCCTGATGAGGGGCTCAAACTCACGAACCATGAGATCATGACCTGAGCCAAAGTCAGATGCTTAACCGGCTGAGCCACCCAGGCACCCCAATTAGTAGCCTGTTTAAAGGATGTAGGTCACAGCCCCAGGCAGAAGTAGAATCCACACTGCATGTCTGAGAGTAGTGCTGTATGCTCACAAATACTCCAGACGTGGTGAGAAAGTAGGGTAGGTCTTTCTCATTCTTTGTTATACGTTTTCTACATATCACCAGGGAGAATTTTATACTGTGCCTAGAGAGCGGCCTGGGTATGTATGACTATTCTGAGCTCTCCTGCTCCACTTTACAACCCAATGACAGATGATATCGATACTGTAATGTTATAGCCTAGGTTGATGAAATAGCTACCTCTGGGTCCCACTCTGAAGTGAAAAGGCTTCTAGCTTTTCAGTGAGGGCCCTAGTCTACACTGTTCCAAACCGCAAGGGGAGCAGCCCTGGCAAAGAGAATTATCTCAAGGGAAAGTGTGAAATTAGGTGTGAGAATTCTCCCCAGATTCTGGTCTCTTTTTTAGAGATGTTCCAGGGCTGGAGAAATACAGAAAACTAAAGAGTAACATAATTGTCCCTGTAGTCAACATGAAGTATGCTATAGGGGACACTGGCTGTTGCGGGGCAGGAATCTCCATTAGCGTCCCTGTTGTTTGGAGCCTGTAAAAATGGGCCCTGGATTTAGAAGGGGCTTTACTCCACGAGGTCTGGCCTTTGACCTTGGATACTGAGAGGTGATCTCTAGGCCCCTAAAGTGCCCTGCTTGATAAGTGTCTCTGCTTCGCCTCTGGTCACCAGACAGTCTAACAGTGTACACGGGGGGGGGGGGGGGGGGGTGGCCTTGGGTCACACTGTATCTGTTCCAACCTCTACAAGAACTGGTGACTAAAGGCATTAGGATGACCTCTGGGAAGAGCTGGAGCTAAAAGGTCAGAACACGGGCAGCGTGTGATTGAGTCCCAGTAAAAACTCTGGACGTCAAAGTCTTAGGTGAGCTTCCCTAGTTGGCAGTACTCCTTATATATTGTCACACATCACAGGTGGTAGGAGGTAAAGCCATCCATGACTCCAAGGTAGGGGGTGGGGATGACCTGAAGCTCCACTGGATCCCTCTTGGACTCTGCCCCATACATGTCTTTCCTCAGCTGACTTGAATTTGTATCCTTTTGATGTTATAATGTTGTAATTGCAAGGACAGCACTTTCCTGAATTCTGTTGCTTTAGCAAATTGGCCAGTATGAAGGTGGTCAGGGCCCAGAAGTTTGTAGATAGCTGGCCTGAGGCGATGTTGATTCTGGGTACTTGTGAACTTAGGCCCATGTAGATGTGGGAGCAGTTTTGCCCGGACTGGTCCCTCAGGCTTTGCAGTTGGGTTAAACTCATCTAGGATGCTAGTGACAGAGGATGGTAAAAGGTAAGAAGATTTGGGTATTATTCGTAACGGGAGCTCTATGAAGTTGGGGCGTTTAGGGCTTTGTCTTTTGGAAAAGACAAAGAATTAAAAGAAATCTCTCCTCGGTGGGAGGTAAGAGACCAATATCCTGGCAGGAAAATCCATTGCAGGTCCGAGTATGAGTCAGAATGGAGAGAATTTAGACAAATTACTTCAAGCCTTAGACAAATGGAGCTAAATATAAGTTAAAAGTGATGATTTATGTAGAAATGTTTTAAAACTACCACATGGAAATGTGAAAAAACAAAAATGCTTTTGCTTTATTGGAAAAATCTGAGTGTAATTGTCACAAACTGCGTTATCCTGGAGAAGGTAAGACTTTCTTGATATTTCCCCCCACTCGGGTTAGAAAAAGTTATCTCCCAGACTTTTTAAAATTGGTCACATTCCTATTCAAAACTTAAACTTGACGAGCAATCCAAGTTATCTTTCCTACATTTTCCTGTGTGTGTTCCTAAGCTTTTATTTAATTCATTTATTTATCTGAGATACAGTTGACATACAACGTTTTATTTCAGGTATACAACGTGACGATTCGATATTTATATTTACTGTGAAATGGTCACAGTAAGTTAACATCCATAACCACACGTAGTTACAATTTTTTCTTATAATGAGAACTTTTAAGATGTATTCTTTTAGTAACTTTCAAATATAACAGTACAGTATTAACTGTAGTCGCCATGCTGTACATTACATCCCCAAGATGTAACTTATTTTCAAGGTACTTTTAGATGCACAAAACGTAGGTGCTTAAGAAAAGTAGTTAACATATTTCAACTTTTCCCCAAATCTCTTAACCATCTCCCCAAAGTGCCTGATTCGTATTCCCACCCATGTCATGGGTTCAGATTTTTCAGAATATAACATTTTAAAATAGTGCCTCAGTGTAAAGATGGGTTTTTCGGAAATAAAGGTTCTGGGGTGAGGTGTACGGTCTTGAGAGTTTTACCAGAGGCAGACCGGTCGAGCTTCTGAAGCGGAGCTTGGCCGAGGTCTGGGTTGGCATATTTGGGAGTTCTCGAAGGAGCAATGCCTCCCGCGTGCTGGAGGCAGTCTAGGGGCGGCGCTCCAAAAGGCCGGGCGCGCGTGGATCTGCGCTGCTGGGCCTCGCTCGCACGTGTCTTAGCTGGGCAGGGTCGGGAAAGGCCCGCTTCCCACCTGGATTAGGATGGATCCGATGGGGTCGCGGTCTTCAGTCTCCAGCGCCATGGGTAGGGCCGAAGGAGGCGCGGTCTCCAGGCGCCCAAGCCGGGTGCGGCGAGTGCTCGTCCCCATGGCAACCCCACGCGCAGCCCGGCCTGTTCTACGCCGGGAGCGGAAGAGGGGTGTGGGCGGAGTCAGGGTAGCGGGTTCCTGCCAAGAACGCGTCCCTGCTTGCGCGCCTCCCCCGCGCACCGGCAGCCGTGGTGCGGCCCAAGGCGGAAGCGGCTCCGGGACGGAACTGGCTCGCTCTCGCAGCTATGGCTGCGGGCGTCCCATGTGCGCTTGTCACCAGCTGCTCGTCCACCTTTACCGGAGACCGGCTGGTCCAACGTGAGTAGCGAGGCTCCTGCGCCGACCTCCAAGCCCCCCGGGCCTCGGCGGGCGGCAGCCTCGGAATCGCGGTCTCCCTCCGTGTCTTTGTCGCCGCCGCGGGCCCTGGGCTCTTCGTCCACTCGGCGGTGGCCAGCGGCTCTTCGGGTGCATCTCAGACCCGGTCTCGGTGCCCAGGCACCAGGTGCTTTCCCCTGGCTCTCACACTCATTGCTTTTCTGCCCTCCGGGCGCACTATTGCATTTCTTCTAGCTTTTTCTGCAAAGTGGGACTCATCCCTGCCCCGCCCAGCCCACGGATTGTTGCGGGAGCCTTTGAGATGCACCGCAAGGCGCTCTGGAAATTGTACCGCGTCACGCGGGTGGAAGGTGCAGGAACTGGGATGTCTGTTGCTATCCCTGCCCCTGGGATAGAGCGTAGGTTTCCTCTTGGCTCCCCCTCGTTGCATGTGAGTTAGCCCTTGTCTCCTCCGCTCCAGCTGTTAACTGTAGGCTCTCGGCCAACATTATCTTTTGGGAGTTACTGGGCCTAGTGTCTTTGCTTCTGGACCTTCATGGTGGCTGTCAAAACTAAATCACTCTTAAAAGAAACCTTAGGCGAGACCAGTGTAGTAGAGAGAGCATGAGACTGGGTCATAGGCTCAACTCTTTCAGTAAAGGATTATGTGCAGTTGATTGTAACCAAGAGTGTTTTAAATGAGTGGATCTCAGCTATGTGACAGCTTAACCTTCACACTTAACCTACACCCTTCAGTTTTCGAGTCTGTAAAACGATAACTTTCACAAGACTGTTGTGCTTACCCCAGAGGCTGTCATATATATAGTACACATTCGATAATGGCAGGCATTATTATCAAAGCACATTATCTTGGGAACCCTCCAGTTTCCTGGTGCTACAAATGGACCAGGCATATGAGCCTATCTCACAGGATTATTTGAAGGACGGGTGCCATTTCGAAAGCACTTTGTCAACCGTGAAGCTTCACACAACTGTATATGTATTTTTTCTGTACCTGTCAAATGGCAGAATTAGGCAGGATGCCTCTCCAACACAAATATCCTATAACTTAGTTATCGTTTGTGACCACTTAAAAGTTCTTTGGGGGTGTGTGTAAAAGTTTAATTATAGCACTTTTATTAAGTGGAAATAACTACTCTATGCCATTTCCTTACCCCTTAATAGTGCCTTTTCCCATTTATTCCCTTTCTTTTCTTTTTTAAAAATTGTTTCATTGTAAAAGTAGTGCATAATTCTTTTTCTTTCTTTAGTGCATACTCATGAAGTAAGATTTAGCATATGGAGAAAAGAGAATGTCAGCCATGGTCTCATCGCCCAAACACAAATACTGTTAACATTTCTGTGCATTTCCTTCCAGTATTTTTTCCAGTGCTTACATTTAAAAAGAAAAATTGTAATTACATTTCTCATATAATTTTTATCCTGATATTTTATGTGTAATTTTCATGTATTATAATGTACCTTTTCATGTTTTGTATGTAAAATTTAAATATATGTAAATTAAACACACATTTAAAACTAATTAAATAAAATTAAATATCTGCACATATAATTAACATTTATGAAATACATAAAATATTTATATAATTTATATTTATATTTCACATACCATTTTAATATTAATTTTATCCTGCTATTTTTCATTTACCATTACATCATAAATTACCTTCCATCATATATTGCCTCTAATGAACATAGAATTTGCTCAAGATTCTTTTTTTTTTTTTTTAAGTTTTTTATTTATTTCTGAGAGAGCGAGACAGCATGAACAGGGGAGGGTCAGAGAGAGAGGGAGACACAGAATCTGAAAGAGGCTCCAGGCTCTGAGCTAGCTGTCAGCACAGAGCCTGACATGGGGCTTGAACCCACAAACCATGAGATCATGACCTGAGCCGAAGTCGAATGCTTAACCGACTAAGCCACGCCGGCACCCCAGAATTTGCTCAAGAGTCTTAAAATTCTTGATGTATTTAACTTTACAAAATAATCACATGCATTTGGATTCCCATTACTGATATATATAAAAGTCATTTCAATGCCAGTCTCAGAAATATTTAAGTATTCTGATGGCTATCGTACTCTCTGTGTGCTTTAAAGATCAGAATGGTCACTTCTTGCAGGAGCTGATTACCTACAGTTGGCAAATAGTAACACTGTACTTCTTTAAAATGTGTTAGCCTCCTTGGGGGTAAAATTAATTCTGTAAAATAATCCACTTTGTTTCTAAATGTCAAATTCCTCTTAGATAGCTCAAGCCAAATTTGTGTTGATTAGATAGCCTTTGTGATTCCATTAGTATTGTGTAGGGGAAAAAAATAAGACTGACTAGTGAAGACATTACTTATAAGGAAAAAGTGAACTATAAAAGGGCTTTATCATTTCTTTTCAGGTTATTGATAGGGAAATGGTAGGTACCACTAGACTGCGGTATTTGCTGAGCATTCCTTCCGTTTTATTATAATTAAAGATTGAATTAAATCATGAATTGAGGCTGATTTGGTATAAGAGATAGACCATAATGAATGATGTTTGTCAAAGTGTTCAGTGATATTAGGCCATAGTATGTTTTTGGAATGAATCTGGTCTCTTTGGGGAAGGTTTGGTTTCCTTTCAAACATCAGGAAGAGGAACCTTCAGGGTTTCTCCACTTTCTCTTTCTTTCAACATCTGATCTCTTTTACTGCTTTTAACCAACAATGGGAAATATTTCATAACCAAGTTTGTTATAAATACACATGAAATAAAAATCAGTAGCCTTCTGCTATGGATAAAGTGCATGCATGGATTTTGTGGAAAACTTTTTCATTTTGTCACTCAAAGGCCTTATATTCAGTATTCTGAGTGGGTGTCTGACATCAGATAAAAGGGTGTTACAGGCTTGCATTGTAGACTTAAAAAAATTTTTTTTAATATTTATTTATTTTAGAGAGAGAGAGAAACCAAGCACCAGCAGGGGAGAAGAGAGGGAGGGAGACAGAACCCAAAGCGGGCTCCGGGCTCTGAGGTGTCAGCACAGAGCCCAACATAGGGCTCGAACCCACATACCACGGGATCATGACCTGAGCCAAAGTTGAACGCTCAGCCCACTGAGCCACTTAGGCACCCCACATTGTAGACTTTCAAAGGGAAATGAAGTCTCAGAATGCTTGAAGGCAAGGCTGTATGTGGTGAGGGAGCCAGTGTCTATACTCCAGGGGCAGACGTCTTTCCACCTCATATGTATTTATATGAAGATTTTACTTTAATTCTGGGAAAGTATATCCTGATACTAAGCACAGCCGTCTCTTTGTGCCAGTTACTGTAGCTAAAATGACAATTCCTACTATCAAGAGGGATGCAGTGAAAGTGTCTGTTCCACTGGTGAAAATATTAAAATGTAGAGCCTGAAGTTTTAACATTTTACTCTATGTTGAAGGAACTTTATTTATCTTAACTCTAGGATAGTTAACACACAGTGTTATATTAGTTTCAGGTACACAATATTTTAACACTTCTATACATTACTCTGTGCTCATCATGATAAGTGTCCTCTTAATTCCTTTCACCTATTTCACCTGTCCCCCCAGTCAGCCTCCCCTCTGGAAGCATCTGTCTTCACTCTATGAGTCCGTTTTTTGGTTTGCCTTTTTTTCTTAGTTGTTTTTTTCCTTAAACTCCACCTATGAGTGAAATCATACTGACTTTGTCTTTGTTTGACTTATTTTACTTAGATTATATCCTCTAGATTCATCCATATTGTCACAGATGGCAAGATTTCATTCTTTTTTATGCCTTAGTAATATTCCATTCTATATATATTCACCACATTTTCTTTATCCATTCTCTATTGAAGGGCACTGGGGCTGCTCCCATGGTTTGGCTATTGTTAATGCTACAATAAACATAGAGACGCATATGTCTCTTCGAATTAGTGTTTTTGTTTTCTTTGGGTAAATATCCTGTAGTGGAATTACTGGTTCTTATGGGGGTAATCCTATTTTTAATTTTTTTGAGGAACCTTAATACTCTTTTCCCACTCCTAGAAGGAGCTTTAGTTAGAAATGTCCCTGGAGACTTGTTTGTTTGTTTTTTTAAGTGTGTAATGCCAACTCAGCAACCATAAGCCATTCAGGTTCTACATCTGAACACTCAGAACAAAATTCTTTTCGTGAAATGTGGGAATTTGGAGACCTTACAATCATAATAAGCATTTATATGTATATCAGAACTCTTCTCAAATGCCTTTTCACATCTTTTAATTTGGTTCTTGTATCCGTGAAGTCATAAAGTCAGGTTATTCCCATTTTATAAATGAAGAGATTGTGGCTTGGAAATACTAGGAGGCTTGCCCAAAGTGCTGTGTACTAAGTATGGGAGCATATGATCACAGTCAGGATTTTTATGCATGGAATATGTAAATGAAATATGTTGGAATCCCTTAGCGCTCAGAACTATTTAAGGTGGTGGCATTGGTGTAAGAAATGATAGAGAAGATTAACTCCTAAAAAAAAATTTACAAACCTCTTTGGATTTCCATTTGGGAGAGTTGAGGTCTTGATTCTGAGTGAAGAGAAAGACATCTTTGTCTGGAGGATATATATTTAAAACGACCATTATGGGGCCACCTGGGTGGCTCAGTCAGTTGAGTGTCTGGTTTCGGCTCAGATCATAATCTCACGGTTCTTGGGTTCGAACCTCACATCGGGTTCTCCGCTGTCAGCCTGTCAGGGCAGAGCCCACTTTGGATCCTCTGTCCCCCTCTCTCTTCCCCTCCCCCACGTACACTCTCAAAAAAACAAACAAAAAAACCCAAACGTTATATATGCCTGATAGTTTTAACAGTGTCTGGATTTTTATTTGCTCTGTTGAGTGAACTCAAAATAGGCATATTATGTATTAGTCACTCCCACGTAGGATTAACATTAAAAATAGGAAGTTGTTTGAGATCATCTCTACCATCCCTCTAGATGTAAAATTCTGTGTTACCATGTTTCTTGTTTTTA